GAACTCAATCTGTATAGTAATTTTTTTTTTTTTTTTTTACCAAACTCACAGGTACTGAATATTTAAGGGTCTGTGATCCTTAAGTGTTCTTGTTGTATTTAGTAGCATGTTCTCCAATGAATGACCACTTGGTTGCTATCAAAGCCACTAAAAAAAGGCAAATAAATGACCACATTGTCATAAATTATATAATTCCTTAGTTAACCAGGACATAGGGAACTCCCAATTGATGATGCAGTAAAGTTCAAATTTATTATCTCTTCATTTTTATGGCAAGGGTTACCTCTCCAGCCATATACATACATACATATATATATATATATATATAAATACGTATATATTTCTTCTTTTTAAGTTTTTAATATGAATTGAGTGATAGCTTACATGGGAGAACATCAGTTTTACACTCATCATTTTATTGCAATGATTACAATCCCCTCCAGGCATCATCATTCAACAGTATTTGCTTCTATTCCCTGTTTTTTTTTTTGGGGGGGGGGGGGGAAAGGGGTGATATACACAAAAACACTCAGGAATGTATAATCATTTAAACTACCAAAGGGCACATTCTGAAATACAGCCTCCTGGCCACCAGCACACAGACTTTCTCTTTCCATGAGTCTAGTGTCCTCACATGCTCTCTCTCTCCATGTCCTCATCTCTGCCTCGATCTCTAGTATCACTGCTTCTCTGGATTGGTCCCGCATTCTGCTCATGCTCTTCTCCCTTGATGGTCCTAGGGTCCTCTGTTCCTGGACTGCAAGATTAACTACTCCCTCTTTGTTGTTACACAAGTTCTACCTTTACAGTTGTGACAATCACAATTAGTCATGATAATAATTACTACTGAATCATAAGAATCTTACCCCATCTCCTTTCACCTGACCTGTCTAGACAAGACGAAAACTATTCAGTGGGGATTCTACCTTGCCCTGCACTTTGAAACTAAACTCCCTCTTGACAACTTGTAAGCCAGTCACTTCGTGCCTTTATAGTCCCCCCATTTTAGTTAGCCAATGTCTAAGTTGCCCCTTCCAATCAACCCTATGTACAGAAGGGATATGTTTGATCCTTGATGCAAAGACTCCTTCCTTCTTGGTTGGTCTTTTAGGCTACTACATCCATAAGTATAGGTCAAGTTCATCAAACTGTAGAAATTTACATTTGCTTCCTTTATCAAATTTCTTTATCTTCTTCTAGTTGAGTTCTGATCATCAAGCCATCGAAGCTACGTCAAATGGATACTATCTGCAAGTTTGTGTGTTCTTGTGCGTCTTCCCCTCACTTCTTATCAGCTGGATGCTTCACTCTCGGCTCTAGCCCTCTGTAGCTAGGTCCTTATCCATAGGCTCAGGAGTCCCCAGGTCTCACCACACTTGGGACAAGCCCTTCCTCTTCTCACTCTCATTTCCAGGTCAATGGGAGTCTAAGGAATGTGGCTAAACTCAGTCTAGGCTGTAATTTTTATGGGAGCAGATCATAAGGTGGAGCCACTGGGATGTGATCTACCACTGCAACACCAGGGCTCCTATGAAATGAAGATTACTATTCACTAGTTTTCATTTCAAGTAAGAGAACTTTTATCTTGAGCTCCAAATTTAAATTTAAAACTGCCAAATATTACACTATATATATCAAAATACCTTTCTTTTTTAAAAAAAATTTATGTTTTTTACAAAGATCTCAAATTTTTATCCACCCCCCCCTTCAAGTCTTGATGTTTCTTCCACCAAGACTCCTCCTCTAAGGTTCAATTTCAGTGGCAGATTCATCTACCTAGTTGCCCATGCAAATACATCAATGATACCTTCCTCATTCTTTAGAAACCAAGCCTATCCCTGAGTATAATTCCAAAATATCTCTTATCTATCTACTTTGTGCTCTCTTTATTATCCCCCATCCCAAATCACAATCACCCCTCTTCTAGGTTACTGCAACAGCCTCTTGACTGGTTTTCTCTATTGTATTCTTGTCTGCACAAGAGTATACAGAACGTCACTTCCTGTTCATGTAGGATAAATTACAAAATGCTTATGTACTTTATCATATATTATTACTAATACAGTTAATTTCATGAAAGAAAGGCTTGTGCCTTACTCCCCAGAGTAATTTCCTGCCACTATCCTGGTAATTTCCTTCTTTCCAGCTCAGCCATAAACAGTTCTTTTGTTTTTAACTTTTTATTATGATTTGGGAGGCCTGATGTGACGCTGAAGGGTAAGCGCTGGACCACAAGGTTAGTTTGAACAGCAAGGTCGATGGTTCAAACTCACCAGCCACTCCTCCAAAACCCTATACGGGGTTGCTATGAGTCAGAACCAACCTGACGGCACTTAGCAACAACAACATTGTGATTTGAGTGAAAGCTTCCAGAGCAAATTGGTTTCATTCAACAATTAACACACAATTTGTTTCATGACACACGGACTGTACTCTACAATGTCACAGCACCTCTTCCTGTTTCCTCCCAATGTTTACCAGTTCACTTCGTCTGTCTGTCTTTCCTATCCCTTAAATGTTCTTTTGTTAGTTAAATGAAACACTGATTTCTTTTTCCTGGTAGAAATTCTTCTGTCTGTAATACATTCCCTTTTCTTCTTTTTTAATACATTCCTTTTTACCTAGCTGTCTGCCATTATTCTCTCTAACTTCTTCAAATCTATCTTCTTTGTATGGTTCCTTCATGTCTATTGTCCCAGACTAACTTGACAGGCCAGGGCTATACCTATTTTATGGTTATTGAGAGATCAGAATATATTGAAACTGTCTATTTTTATTGTTATTCCCTGGACTAGGCTAATCTTTTTGCAAGCAGGAGTCTTCTTTTTTGTAGTGTTATTTAGAGTGTTGACTGTGTTGTTGTTTGGTGTTGTTAGATGCTGTCAAGTTGGTTGTGACTAGACTAATAGTGACCTGTAAAAGGTTTCCCAAGATGTAAATCTTTATGACAGCAGAAAGTCTCATCTTTCTCCCACGGAGTGGCTGGTGGATTTGAACTACTGACATTCTGGTTAACAGTCCAACTTATCCTACAGCGTCACCACCCACCCACCACCACTCACTGTTATCAAGTAGATTCCAACTCATAGCAACCTTATGTAGGTTTTCCAAGGCTATAAATACTTACTGGAGCAGAAAACCTCAGTGCCCCCCCACAGAACAGCTGGTAGATTTGAACTGCTGACCTTGGAGTTAGCAGCCCAACATGTAACCCACTATACCACCAGGACTACTTTTACAGTGTCACCAGCATTCACAAAATGTATAATAGTTACTCATAAACGTCTGTTTAAAAAGAACTACAGAGGTGGTGGTTATGTGCTGTGACCGTGTACAGGGTTTCCAAAGCTGTCAATCTTTACAGGAGCAGAAAGCCTTATTTTTCTCCCCAAAACCTTGAGGTTAGCAGCCCAACTCGTAATAAATTTGGACTTGAAATTTAAATACTGCAAAGATTGTTACTAATGGATTTAATAATTAATTGAGCCTGTTTTGGACTCTGAGAGTTTAAAGTTGCTTTAATTATATGAAAAAAATATGACTAAAGACAATCAACTAAAGAAGGTAGCACTTTCTCTTTAAAATGAGTAAATATTTAGTCATTGGTATATAACCAATTTTTGTTTTTAATTACTAAAAAAATTTACTGTTTAAGTAATCACCACTATCAAATGAGCATATGTCAGTTTCATATAACACTAAAGAACAATGAGAACTGAACGTTTATTCAATTTAACTTTTGTTAGAATTCTGAAGCTTGACAGAATCATTGGATTGTTGTTGTTATTAAGTGCTGTCGTGTCAGTTCTGAGCCACAGCAACCCTGTATAGGGTTTCTGAGTAGCAACTGGTGAGCTTAAACAATCGACCTTGCAGTTCACAATGAACTTGCAGTCCAGCACATTAACTCACAGCACCACACCAGGACTCCAATTCTTGTAAAGCATTAACTATATTAATGATGCATGACTACATATTACTTTATGTCACTAATATGTACCCTGCTAATCCAATGATCCTGGAGTCCTGGTGTGGTACTGTGGGTTAATGCGTGGACTGCAATACTGGTTTGAACTTCAAGATTGGCAGTTCAAGCTCACCAGCGCTCCTTGGAAACCCTATACAGGGTCAATTCGACAGCACTTAACAACAACAAGTGCCACTGAGTCAGTTTTGACTCATAGAGAACTGTATAGGGTTTATGAAGAGCAGCTGGTAGTTTTGAACTGTCAACTTTGTAGTTAGCAGTGCTTATCCTAAAGCGCCACACGAAGACTCCTGAGGTTGTCTGGTATTGAGGAATTTGGGGTAGGGAAAAGGGACGGGAGACCCTCTGACTTTTCTCCAAAAATAAATCCATATCCATTTCATAAAAAATTAAATACATTAACTTCTCAGTTAATATATTTACATAGCCTTCTTAGTTACCTTACCAACTGGTATAAAATAATTCTAGAAATATATGGACCAAACAAGGAATTCAGACAGGTAGCTGCAGAAAGAGTACTGGGTTCAATAAGAACATCAGGTTCATGTCGTGGCTCATCATTTATGAGTTGTGTGGTTAGGAAAAATTCACAATAAGGCAAAGATACCTACTTCATAGGAATGCTTTAAGAAAAATCAAAATCAAAATAATGTTTGTGAAAATGATTTGTAAGCTATCAACTGCTATATTAAAATAATTATACAGATCCACTGGGCTGGTCTTTAGTATTCCCTCAACTATCTGCGAACACCATGGGCAGCCCTAAAGATGGTACAACAAAGTCTCTGTCTTCATGGAGTTTCTATTCTAGCTAGGTAGACAGATACAAGTATTTAGACGACAATGTGTTACCGGTTACATTTCTGTGGGAACATTGTGGACAGAGGTAATGGTAGTTAAAAGTTTAAATGTAAAATCTGTTTCATGCTTTAATTATCATGTAAAAAGGAATCTTATGAGTATCTTAATAAGAATTTAAAGCAATCACAGCAAATGTTTATATAGTACTCACGAAGGAGCAATATCCAGATGGTTGATGCTAAATCCAGACGAGGCAAAGCCTCCCAGGCTTGTTGATATGGTTAGGAACACAATAGCCAAAGAATAATCACAACCAATAAATCCAGCTGCTACCAGGAATACTGCAGGTCCAATCATCCCTGGAGTTTTATGAATTATAAAAGAAAAAAGTTTCAGTATTACTATCAGCTTGCTGTACCTTGTTGTTAAGTGCAGTTGAGTCGGTTCTGACTCATAGTGGCCCTATATAGGGTTTCCAAGGAGTGACTGGTGAGCTTGAACTGCCGATTTTGTGGTTCAAACTGCAGTCCAGTGCATTAACTCACAGCATCACACCAAGACTCTAATATAGTGTACACATCTGGAATATACTACTGCCACCTACTGTAGAAACACGGTACTGCCTAGAAAATGACATCTAGATTTACATGCGGGAAAACTACTAGAAAAGATATGAACATAATTCAACCAATATAAAAGTAAGAAAATCTCATTATATCATACTATTAAATCTACATGTGACCAAGACGCAACTAAAATTCTTCTTTATTAGAAAAAGAGCAAGAAGAAAGTAATTGAAAAATAGAACTGACTGGAAGAGATTCCTATCTGTTCCCATTCCAAAGAATGGTGACACAATGGAATGAAAATCATCAAATAATATCACTGATATCAAATGACTGCTGAAGATAATTCAAAAATGGCTGCAGTAGTACACTGACAGATTTAGAAGAGGATGTGGAACTAGGGATATAATTGATGATGTCAGATGAATCTTGGCTGAAAGTAAAGAATACCACAAAGATATTTACTTGTGCTTTATTGATTACATAAAGGCTTTTGACTGAGTGAACCATGACAAGCTATGGATAACAATGTAACGAATGGGTATTACAGAACATTTAATTGTGCTCATAAGGAACCTGTACACAGACCAAGAAGCAGTGGTTCAAAGAGAATAAGGGGTTACAAAGTGGTTTAAAATCAGGAAAGATGTACACCAGGGTATATTCTTTCACCAAGCTTATTCAGTCTGTATTCTAAGCAAATAATTCGAGAAAATAGATTATATGAATAAGAACACGGCATCAGGATTGGAGGAAGATTCATTAATAACCTGCGATATGCAGAAGATAAACCTTGCTTGCTGGAAAAACAATACTTACTGATGAAGATCAAAGACTACAGCCTTCAGTATGGATTGTACATCAATATAAAGAAAATAAAAACACTCACCACTGGACCAATAGATAACATAATGATAGATGGAGAAAAGACTAAAGTTTTGAAAGACTTCATTTTACTTGGATCAACTATCAACACTCAGGAAAAAGCAGCTAAGAAGTCAAATGATGTACTGCATAAGTCAAATTTGGCACACAAGACATCTCTAAAATATTCAAGAGCAAAGATACCAGTTTGAGGACTAAGGTGCGCCTGACTCAATAGCGTGTGAATGTTGGACAATGAATATTGAAAATACCATGAAGAACCAATAGGTCAGTGTTTACAGACAGAATGCTCCTCAGATGCCAGGATGGTAAAACTTTGTCTCTCATATTTCAGACATGTTATCAGGAGGGACTAGTCCTTGGAGAAGGACATCATGCTTGGTAAAGTGGAGGTGCACAGAAAAAGAGGAAGACCTTCAATGAGATGGACTGGTACAGTGGCAGCAACCATGCATTCAGCTGTAACAACAATTGTGAGGATGGCGTAGGACTGGGTAGTGTTTGGTGCTTTTGTGCATAGGATCACTATGAGTCAGAACCGACTTGATGGCAGAGTTTTAATCCTCATTAATCCATGGTTCAAAAAGAACAACAATCTTGAAAATGCACTAAAGGCATCGTTGTTGTTAAGTGCTGTTGAGTTGGTTCCAACTCATAGTGACCCTATACAGGGTTTCCGAGGAGAGGCTGGTAGATTTGAACCACTGATCTTGACGTTCAAACCAACCTTGCATCATAGTGCTTTAATATGGTGGTGGTAGTGGTTATGTGCCATGGAGTTGGTTCCAACTCATAGCGACCCTGAATAGGGTTTCCGAGGCTGTAAATCTTTACAGGAGCAGAAAGCCTCGTCTTTTACCGGCAAAACCGATGCTAGTTTTGACCTGCGGACAGTGAGATTAGCAGCCTGACTCATAACCACTATGCTACCAGAGCTCCTTAGTGCTTTAATATATGACTAAAATAAATGACTGTTATTTTCATTTTGTCTTGCAATGGGAATATATTAAATAAATATAAACTGAAACAAAATCTGACTTACTTACCCACAAGGCTAAAAATTCTGCGTACAAATATAGTTGAAAAATTCCATTTAGCTCTTAAATTGTCAGCAGCTTGACCTGACAATACTGTGCATAACCAACAGCCAAAATAAGGCACTGCAGATAAAAACCCATTCTGTAGGAAAAAGAAGATAAAGGATTAATTATGGTAGGAGCAATAACAAACAAGACACACACACAATCAAGGACCACCATCGGCACCACTTTAAAACAAAGAAAATACATATAATATGCTGTGAATTTTCATATAATTACAGTAATAAATTTGGCTTTCAGAAGGATTACAAAACTCAGTTCAGTGCAGCCCACAAGAACCTGTCTCAGAAGGAACCAGGCTCATCATAGTCCAGTATTCTCAATGAAATCCTGTTATCTTGGGGCTTGGCTGGGGGCTACGATGGCCCTTTAACTTGGGTTACGACTTCCATTGGTGAAGATGGTTTTCTTACTAGCCTATGGAATCTACCCACTAAATAGTTTTTGTTCCCAATTTTAACTTACTCACTTACTTTAAAAATATTTTTATTGCAAAACAGAATGTAGATGATGACAACCACATAAATCAAATGTACAGGTTTGTGACTTTTTTTGAGGTGAATGCCATCTAGACTAAGAAATAAATTTTGCCAGCCACCTACCAGCCTCCTCATGATCCTTGTCCAATCACAACCTCCTTTCTTTCCCCATAGCGTAGTGGTTACGAATCGGGCTGCGAACCTTAAGGTCAGCGGTTCGAAACTACCAGCCGCTCCGCGGGAGAAAGATGAGGCTTTCTACTCCCGTAA